ATAACTACATTTAATTTTTTTTGTTGTCTATTGTTGCTTTCCAATGACAGGAATTGCTGTGCAAGTTTTGGTATAAACAAATAAATTAAAATAAAATCTTGTGTAAAATGTCTAAGAGCTTAACATGGTAGAAGAGAAATATTGAAAGGTGACATTGGGAAGCAAAATGATAGGTGAGGCCACGTGGCCTGTAAAAATAGATTATTTAAACTTAGGTCTCCTGAGTGCCAATCTTTTGCACAGTTCAGACCACTTTGTCTTTTAAAAATCAGTTTCACTAAGACTATTCAAACTTCATCTACAGAGATAATGAAATCTAACCCAATAGAAGCACTTTTAGTCCCCAAATCATTCCTTCATTGAATCTATAGCCCCTTGTAGAAATTGAAAAGGAGCAATTTTTTTAGATGTTTTTACTCATTCCTTATACAGTGAGCAAATAATAAACAACAATCTAACAATATATTTTCATATTTCAGTCTCTCCTTAAAGAATAAATATATACTTCAGAAGGATAATACAAGAAGCATTCTCTATTTCCAAAATTACCTATGAAAGGGAGATTATCTGGGTATGTCTGAAAGCTATGCATAACCTTTGCACTACAAATATCTCATTTCAAAAATGTCATATTCTCCTTATACAGTAGGGCTTCCATGAGGTTATTTTAAGCACTGTGCTTCTGGCTTTGAGATGAGACCTGGAGTTACCAGAGCTGCAGCTCTTGTTTCCCTTAAGGTTAGTTAGAGCCAGATAGTTTCTTGGAAGGAGTGCCCCACAGAACACAGAGAGCTGCTGCTCAAGCAGCAGGAACTCTGGGGAGTTCACTCTTGTTTGCAAGGATCATTGTGCCTCCAGGTTAGCAGCTGTGGTAGTTTGGGTGGCTCTGATGCAAACAAGGAGGTGCTGGCACAGCATCCAGAGCCCCCAGGGCAGCTCCTGTGGGGACAGAGGGCCATGGGGCAGTGCTGAGTATCATCCCCTGAGCACCTCCCATGTGCTCCACCTCCCCACGGGTCTGGTGCTCTCTTGTGCCTGTGTGTCTGTAATAGAAGCAGTCAAAGAGGTTTGTGGTGCACTCTGAGATGGGTGTTTGAGGAAAGCTGCACCTGGTGGGGAAAGAAACAATGCTCACTTTCACTTCTGCCACTTAGCTTTGGATCAGGACTCGTGTCTGATGCATACGAGTGGCAGAGTCTCAACACAAGTTACAGGCAACAGTTTAATCAAGGACATAGTAATTCATGTTGGAAAGCACTTAATTACTCCACATTTAGAGCAGACAACATGGCAGTATGTGTATCTCCAATATGCCAGCATGGTTCACTTTTCATAGAAGTTTATGATCCCAGCGGGCACCAATGCTTTTTCTGCCTGATAAATGTCAAGTACTTTAAGCAATCTTGCCTGTTCCTCTCTGGAGATTGCCAAATAATTTCCTTTCATTGGGTTTGGGATCTTGCCAGGGCTTTTGCATTCATGCACATCTTTCCCTGCCAAATGTTGGTAACACCGGAACTGCACAAACACTCCCTGCTCCTTTCATTGGCTTTGCACAGTTCTGTTTGGCTGCAGGATTCCTATTATTTTTCTCTGTTGTTGTGGGCTGGAGCAGTAGTTCATGATTCATACTCTATTAACAGGTGTGCTGTGGAGTTCAGCCCTTGCCAGAGAGCTGTGTTTCAGAGTAGAAACCGTTGTTAAATTTAAGTGTCTTGCACCACAGTCTTCTTAAAGATAATTCAGTTTGCCTCAAAGATAATTCAGGTGTCCTCCTGCACCTGAGGGAGTTCCTAGTGGATGTGAACAATTCCTCTGTTCCTAGTAACAATAAAAAGCTTTCTTTGTTATTAAATCTATCCATTTACCTGTGTATTGCCCTGAAGAGCATATAGGAGGTAACTTTTAAGATTTGTAAAATATTTAAACAATTTAGTTTAAAATTTTAGTTGGAAAAGTCCAATTCGTCATGAAGGGAAAAAGACCTCAGTAACACAAAACCTCCTGGAAATAGATGGTTTAGTAAAATAAACTATAGCAGAGGAAAAATGCTTTATATAGCAAATGGAAAGTAAATCACCTAAAATGTTTTACCCTGTTTCATACAGCAGAACTGGGTCATTTGACCTTTTTGTTGATAATGTCACCAATATATTCTAGGCTAGTGCTACATATCATGCCATGGCAGACGAGGCTCTGTGTGTCATCATGGTACTTAATTTCAACCCATGCAAAAATACAAGGCTGGATGGCAGAATGTCAATCGTTTTTCCTTGACATTTCTCCTTTCCTCATTTGTAATGTAATAACCTGTGGATATTGTATATGGGAAGTCCAGCACCCAAGGACAGGTTTAGACAGTGTAGCAGAACCTCTTCAGCTGGATAAAAATTATGAAAATTGAATGAGGAAAGAGGAGAATAGGCTTTTTCTACAATTTAAAAACACAGTACTTTTGACCACTTTTGGCTGGTTTTAGAAAAAAATATCAGTTAACATTAGCTTGAATGACCACAGCACAGGAGTAACTCAGCTTTTGATTATTTTGTGATCATTAACATCCATCCCAATAAAGACATCAAAGAGAGGGGTTGTGGCTGTAAGACAGAGCCAATCTCAGCGTGACACCTGTGGCACCAAAGATGTAAAAGGCAGCACTGGGAACAGGGATCTGAGGAAGCAGAGGAGCAGGAAATGTTCCTTTCTCAGGTATCCATTAGTGATGGCAGTGTGATGCACAGGAACTGAAGACTGTGAGAAGCCTGTGTTTACAAAATACAGGATTTTCAAATGTAGCTGAAGTAGAGTTCAGGTCATGTACAACATGTTCACAAATGATCAGGCAGTTTGTGCCAGTTTCATTGACTGTCTCTTCATTTTAATGACAGCAATCTGAATAAGATTGCTTTTGACAGGCTTGTAAATCAGATTAACAGAGGTTGGAGAGAGGACTGAGATCAAGTTTATGCTAGTAGAATATATAAAAACATAATATACAAATAAGACACTAAACAGAAATGAAATAGTGATTTAGCTGGAAACAGGCAAGAAAAATCTGCCAGTATTGTCAAATGCATCACAAGTAATATTTTCTGCAAAGCCCAAATGATTCTGGTAGCCTACATCTTATTCCCAAAAGTCTAGCCTAATACATTCAAGAAAATTAATTTGGGTTAATTAAAAAGACAAATTTAAAATGCATTAGGATATATCCACATAGTGAAAAACTATCAAGCTACCAAACACCCTTATCTGTGGTTGCTTTTGCATATCCCTAGCCTGCTGCAAAGTGGAACACATTAATTGGAACCATCATGAAAATATAATATATTTTTGAGTATTTTTTGTTCCTTTTAATTCTGGCAAGATTTCTTTTCCTTTTTGCTTTGTTGTACCTTAGTTATGTGTTAAGCTAAAACAAATGCTACTAACAAAGAGTAGTCACATTTCTTTGTACATGTACACATTCACAGCTCCTTATTCCTGAGCAAAACTCGTTTATCATCTGCCTTTACTGCTACACCTTGTGGGAATTGAACAGAAGTTATTTAGCAGATCAAAGCACGAGTGTGACAAAGTGATAACACCATTTGAGTCCTCCTCTGATAGTGACCAAACCACATTAGTGAGGTGCTTTAATGCAGGTGCTTTAATCCAGCTCTGAGCCAGCATCCTCCCAGACTCAAAATGCTGTCTTTGAGCTGGCAGAGCACTGCCTCACTGCTGGCTTCAGGAATATGTTCATGGCTGTTTCTAAAAGAGAGGTTTCAACTCTGTGAGTGCTGCCTATCTGATTTAGCATCTGAGATTTGCTGGCTGTTTGCTGATGGGTCAGCAGAAGGTTTCCCTGAGCATTGAGTTCAAACTAGCAGATATGCAGTAGTGAATTACAAGGAACAACAAAATTTGGAAAGGCAGGAAAGCTACCATTCTAACCTGGCCACTAGTTTAGTCCTCTGTGTTTGTTTGTTTTTTTGAACCGACTTACCAGTGAGATATCAGTTACCTCCTAGAAACATAAGCTAGGTTTAGTGTATGCGATAAATTTTGTTTCTGAACAAGTTTGTTGAGTCTGCTTAGGATAAAAGCTGACTTCACTTAAACATTTAATGAGGCATTTTATTAACCCTAACATTTAATGAGATGTTTTATTAGCTCTTTATGCAAAGTGAACAAAATGCAGTTTGCATGAGTTTTCTTATTGTTTAATTCATAAAGGATCATTTCCAAGAAACCCTTGACCTCTCATTTCAAATTAATTTCATCACAATGTTTTGATTTATAATTTCAAAGACAAGGTTTCTATAAGTAACCAGTGTAGAAAGATTCCAAATCTGTGAGATACTTTGTTATTCCTTGACTTCACAGACACCTCATTAAGAGATTCATGAGATTCTAACAATATAGTAGAGTCCTGATAAATCACTAGAATTATCTCAACAACAGATTTCACAATTTGTGTATGAGTATTTTCCTTCTCTGTTAGTGCTGAGACAATTGTTGTGCTTTATGTAAGAAGTTACTATAAATAAAAAGGTCTTGATTCATCACTTTGTCACTGCAGAGTTACCTCCCTGTCATTCCAATATGACTGTTCAGGACCTTAACTGTTCTCTTGGAGCCAAAAGGAGTTCATTTTGATATTTAGTGTTATGTCGTTGGCAACTCTTTGGGTCTTTAAAATCCCACAGTGATATTTGAAAAGCACAATATTTAAAAATGGAAAGTCTCCTGTCCCAAAGAGTTTGGGAAAGAACAGATGTCTCGGAGGAAGGGAAGTGCTCACTAGTTACTTAATCCTGGAGTGTCAGAGCATTCTGGGGGAAATCTAGGAGTGTTTTGAATTGTTATTTTTGTAGTGTTCTATTGATGTAATACCAGAGATAACCGCAACAAGCTGGTCCCAGGAAATCCATTCCAGAATTACTGTAACAGAGACCCTATGGTTGACCAGGTGTGTTACAGGCTTCTGATGAGTTTGTGTTCTGTTCTGTTTTCAGTGTCAGCCAAACCAAGACCTCACAGTGATGAGTACACAAAGAAGATTCCACCTCCTAAGCCGAAACGAAACCCAAACACTCAGCTAAGCACATCTTTTGATGAAACATATATCAAAAAGCATGGCCCTATGAAGACAAGCCTCACTAGGGATGCCTCACTCTCGCAGGTCAGCAGTCCTGCTCCAGACACAGAGGAAGAAGAGCCTGTTTATATTGAAATGGTTGGGAATATTCTCAGAGACTTCAAAAAAGATGAGGATGACCAAAGCGAAGCGGTCTATGAGGAGATGAAATACCCTATATTTGATGACGTAGGCCAAGACTCAAAATGTCAATGTGAATATGACCATCACACTTGTTCTTCTCAGTGTGCTACTCCCACAGTGCCTGACCTAGATTTCACCAAGTCTCCAGTGCCATCTACTCCCAAGGGCTTGCTTTGTGACATACCCCCGCCATTTCCAAACCTGCTTTCTCACAGACCTCCACTGCTGGTGTTCCCACCAGCACCAGTGCAGTGCTCCCCGAATTCTGACGAGTCTCCTCTAACTCCACTAGAGGTCACAAAGCTTCCTGTCCTAGAAAATGTGTCTTACATCAAACAGCAAGCTGGAGCTTCTCCATCTTCACTGCCACCTCATACACCAGGCCATCAAAAACTGGAGAAAGACCAGACAGTATCTCATGGAACTAGCACCCCTGGGCACACCTCCTCACCTCCTCATCCTTCTACCTTATACAGAACGCAGTCTCCACACGGTTATCCTAAAAGTCACTCTGCCTCACCTTCTCCTGTCAGTATGGGTAGGTCTCTTACCCCCTTAAGCCTCAAAAGACCTCCACCTTATGACTCTGTACATTCAGGAAGTCTCTCAAGAAGCTCTCCATCAGTGCCTCATTCTACAGCCAGAAACACATTGCAAGAAGGAGGGAAGATGGTCAGTGTGTCGGTCAGCACCTACGGGTCATCCTCTCAGAGCAGTTCCCGCTCTCGCACACCCACCAGTCCTCTGGAGGAGCTAACCAGCCTCTTCACCTCAGGACGAAGTCTCCTGAGGAAATCCTCCAGTGGCAGAAGATCTAAGGAACCTGCAGAAAGTAAGTCCTTGACGTAATTTTTCCTCATCTTTGTATAATAATACCTGCTACTGTACTTTACTAAATCAAATGCTTGCAAAAATTAAATAACTCAGAATTCTGAATGCCTTATAGAAATTTCCTGTAATGAAAAGAAAAATGATTACTGCTTTAGTCTTAATATTGTTATATTTCTAAGGTTTTTGAGTATGCATACTGCACTTAGAAGTACAATTCACGGCTTGGTCTTGCAAGAGTTGGTTCTCATTAATTTTTCTACAGCTGTAAATGTTCCCGGTGAGTTGGGATCCTTTCTTGATGGATGCTAAGCAGCTTGTAGCAAAATAACCAAACAGTAGCTGTTGAGGGTTATTTGCAGAGATCCACTGATCGCCCTTAACTTGGCCAGAAATCCTAGAAAATATGACAGCCAAAGGTACCAGCTTAACCTTGGTTAAGCCTGGAGCAAAGGTTAAGGCTGATGATCTTGGAGGGCTTTTCCAACCTGAATGATTCTGTGATTCTGTGTAAACCATTCCTCTCCTTCCATGCTGTGCCATGGAATATCTCTTTCAGCTGGAACGGTGTGACTGTTTGGAAGGCTGTGCTGTGAATTGATCTGAAAACCAGCATGACCTATAATTCTCATAACCTATAATCCCACACAGGAAGAAATGCATGGAAGGAGGCTGTGCAGGAAAACCTTAAGGCAATATTCACTTGTCATATGCTGTGTCATAAAATCAATGTTCCATACGCATTCAGGTTTCCACCATGTACAGCATGTACTTCTGAGCTAGTGAAATATGGAAACTTCTTTTGAAATCAATGGGAGTCACATGTGTGAAAGCAGAACCAGGCACCAGCATTTCTGTTGCAAAAATGTTCCTGTTCAGTGGGTGTCCTGCAGTGGAAGGTCTTTCTAACACCTCCTGACTCAATGCAAAGCAGACTTGGGATGCTTTCTCCTCCACTCCAGTAAAATCTGTTTATGACTTTGAATTGTTGACTCCTGTCTAATGAAAAAGCTGTCTTTGGAAAGCAGCTGATCTCATGTTTGTGTAGGTACTATATTATAGCTATTGACAGCTCTGTGTATGATAAACTGCACTGGTTTATACCTGATAAAAGAAAGTGTTCTGGTTTCCAGGCTACTGTATCACTGTGGAAGTGAATTCCACACTGTGTTTCTGGTTGTGTTTGTGCCCCTCTGTTATGTCACCCATCGCAGTGTGGTCACAGCACTTTGGGGCATGCTCAGGGTGCTCAGCAGGACACCCCTCTGGGTTTCCACGGGCAGAGGTGTCTGCCTGGCACCTCTGCAGCTGAGTGAGGACGTGCCTATCTGTAAGAATGGAGAAAAGCCTGGTGGCAATGGTCTAGGCTGGCCTACAACTCATCCCTCCTGACTCACTGGCTCCACTTCTCCAGCCTCGGTGTTATTCTTATTTATCTCTGTACACATCAGGAATAACAGCTCAGTCAGAAGGTGAAGGTGAGAATAGAGTTAGCAAGATATGGAGGGTACTAGTTGGTGCAGCAGTTTGCTTAATTTGCCTTTAGTATTTTCATGGCCTGTAGTCATTAATCCTGTTTTATGAAAGTCTCAGCTCCATGATTCAGTAGGGTTTCATTAATTGATTGCAGTAGTAAAACTACAGTAACACCGGATTTGTGTGCTGGATGGAAGCAAGTTTGTATCTAAAAGGCAAGATGATTCTTGTAATTGGGAACAATTATGAAGGATGTGATGTGACATTTATAAATAATTTCAGCTAAATGCTAGGGAGATTTTGGCAGGTAATACCAAACATTATTAAATAGGCTTCTTATTCATAAATGAGCAGAAATCTCCTGTAAATCCCATGTTACACTAGCTCTACTCAGTGAGGTTTGTACTCTCACCAGCAAGTTTGGAACCTGGAGAAATTCCTGCCGTGAATATTGCAAATCCTGGGAAATTTCAGCACATCTGTGCTGCTGTGTCATACTTATCTCCTGAATATGTTTGCTATATTCTACTTGACTGAAATGGAATGCAAAACTTTCAAATCAGTTTTCACTGATAAATTTAAACTAAATCTTGCCCTGCAGATCTGTACCAAGTGCAGCCTTGTTTTCCTCTCAAGGAGCACTGTTCTTTCTCCTTAGGAAGTAGAAATGTGTTCCTTATAGGCCGCAAATGGTAAGAACAAGAGAGATATGAAATTTAAATTGTGTTCATTTATTTAAAAAAAATACATTCATGTTATAAATAGACACCAGTGGTGAAAAGACTCTGGAGTACAGCTGTGTTGAGTAAATGAACAGACTGCCCATCTAATCTGATTGTAATTTGTCTGGTATTTACAGTATGACTTAATCCCGTGGGATTACTGCCCTGAGCAAGAATCAGGTTTGTGTTCAGATATTGCAGAGGTAGAAGACACTCTAAGATTTATAGAAAACACACACAGGTCTTGCATTTTATGTCTTTCAATTCTACATTGAAATGATCCACCATAAAGAATCTAAATTGGGAGATTTGAACATGGCATTTGACCAGACTGCCACATTTACATGTCGTGATTTACAGGGTGATAGACAAGGGAGGCTGGGCTACTCATCTGATATGTTAAGGAAACTTTGATCCTTATTGTCCTGTTTTCTAAAAACCCTTTTGTATGCTTTTAACATTTTAAATATGTATTACAGACAATTATGAAAGTGGGGAGAAAATGACAAAGAAAAGTAAATTGTAAGGCCAAATCAGAAATGAAAAAAATATTGGTGGACCATTATGCAAAAAAAAATGCAAAAGATGGAGATAACCCTACAGAAAACTGAAGAAAGGTGTAGAATATGAAGAATGTGAAAGAGTGGAAAAGATAAATATTACTAATTGTCGCTGACTGTTCCTTAATCCTTTCTGTGTTTGTGTGGGATAACATGGCAGTATGCCTTAACACTTGGCAGACCCCTGTGAAATACAATGTCAATCCTCAGAGGTCAGAGGGAAACTATCTAAAGGGTACCAGCACTTGGGCTGCTGCGCTGTGCCCTTTTCTGAAGCAGCTGGAAGGTGTTCAAGTACAGCCACTTGATCCAGCTGTGTGGAACCACACAGTCCCTTTGTTGTCACTGTGCGCCATGAATGTCTGTGTCACCTGCATCCTTCAGTAAAGAGGGATTTATGGAGGGAGACGAAGGGAATGGTCTGAAGCTTTTCTGGAGGTGTATTTTCTGCTTCTGCACCACAGAAACACACTGTACTCCATGAGGAACTAGGCTGGAGTCACGTGCCTGAAGGCATTCCCACATCCTACAGAGCAGGGCAGAGGCTGCTGTGCACCTGCACTGGCTTTCAGGCTGTGTGTGCCTCCAGGGTTTCTTTGTGAGTGCTCCTGTAAATCCTTGTCAGGACTAGCCTTTCTTTCTGTATATTGATTGTTCCCATTTGTTAAAAATTCTGTTCCCTCACAGTTTCCTGGGAGCTCTGTGCCAGTTTCAGGTGATTATTGCAAACATTCACTCTAACGAACTGCACAAGAGAGCAGTGACCTCAGCTGTGTGCTCTGACTCTGGATGAGCACAAGGTGTGACATCAGAACAAGTGATGCAGCTCAGGTTTTTGTTTTCCTAAGCTGCTGTGCAGGGCTTCAGATCTGCTTTGGTGTTTGCCTACGTGGAGTTTCACTCTTCAGCTTCTAGTCACATAAAGGGAGGAAATTCGTGAACGTGCTACTTTGAAAAATCAGTTATAGTGATTGAAAATTGGGATAATTGTTAACATTTCCTGTTCCTGGCTGGTATTGAATTAAGAATCTAAACACATCAAATAGTGTGAGGAGAGGAGGGATTCTGAAGTAGCTCAGTTGTTAAAAAGGAGTTTAGGCTGACTTCAGGCAGCTGAGAATTAAAGTAGAATTTTTTTTATTTATTTTTTTTTTTTAAATTCTGCTGCTTTCCAGAAATCTCAGAGAAGTATTGGATGTCCCATCCCTGGCAATGCAAGGCCAGATTGGATGGGGCCCCGAGCAACGCAATCTAGTGAATAGCATCCCTGCCTGTGGCAGGGAGGTTGAGACTAGATGATCTTTAAGGTCCCTTAAATCCAGATCATTTGCGTTTCTTAGTCAGCCTTGGGTTCCTTGTTAGATAGAACAGTGTGGTGGAGAACAGAGTTTGGGAGATGCTTCAAGCAAAAATTCACCCCACATGGGCCCATTTAACCTGTATCTTCATGCAGAATGAGGGGCACAGGGCAGGATTTCAGCTGATGTATTTCTAACAGAGTTAGGATGAGAAACGCTGGCTGAAGCAGGGTGGGACTGGGATGGCATTGTGTGCATGCCTTCTCATTTGTATACCTGCTCAGCCTCTGCTGTCCTGAAGAGGAAACTTGCCTGCAAGATGAGGCATAAAAACCATTATAGATACTTTATTACATCCATTGCTCAACTACTGCACATCTGCACTGCTACACGACTTTTGGCATTAGAGATCATTTGAAAGCCTCTCTCATTTCTAACCTCTAGGTTAATATTTTTCCATACTTTTATCCAAAGGGATGTCAGCCTAATTCTCTGTTCTTTTTCTGCATTGTGGCAATTGATTCTATGCAGTATGAATGCTATATTCAGTCTAATGAGACAGCTACAGCTTTTCAGTTTTTTCTGAACCTTTGAGCCAGAGGTGTACTGATTTCTCCATCACTGAAGAAGCATCCATTTCCATAATAGTAGGATTTTTTAATCTGATGAGCCATGATATGTGTGAGATTAAATGAGGTGATCAAAACAGTCACTTCTCATTTGACAGTCCTGAAAGCAGGTCTGAAAGCAAACATTTCATGGGGGCAGGGGAAAGTGCCAGAGGAAAAAGTAAAGAGAACACCAGCTTTGAAGAGAATGACACTTGTCCACCCCTGGAAGGATACGATCTTACCACAGTTAGTTCCATTTAGTCAAACCCCAAGAGGCTGACCTTGCTACATCTATTCCAACCTACCAAGATATTAGCAAGCGAAGAGTTGCAGCATC